ATCACGCTCGATCCATTGTCTTTGCACCGATGTAAAAAACCAACGGTTGACTCTTCTGTCTCTGGGTATGCTAACCTGCTAATCCCTCATGGTGTTTTGATTCTTTCTCTTCCATGGTCTCCGATGGGTTAATGTCGACCATATTAACTTTGACCGTCCCAGCCAGCTTCATTCTTTCCAAGCCCTCAGTGGCCTGGTCCATTATGACGAAATGGTCAGCTGTTTCCTTGGTTACCATGGCGTAACTTTGATGACTTTGAACCCCTAGACTTGAATCGTTATCGTTTCGACCAGTATTCTCCTTGACTGTGACTGCCGCATCGTCCAAACCGAAACCCATGACGAATTTCGCCATCACTGGTGCTGAAATGAGGTCCTCAGTGACCTCCATCATGTTAACAGAAAACTCGATGCCCTCAGTAGCATCTATCATGTTTGCTTCCATAGGTTTAGCATAAAGAGCATCAGCCAATTGCTGCGGATCAGCATCCACCTTCATCTGGCCCTTCGCCTTATCTCCAAACTTCAAGCGTCCCTCCTGTATCGCATTCTGGACGAGATCCCTGAAAAGAAAACATTGAGATGTTTTATGACCCAGAAAATTATGGTACTTACAAAAATGTCTCTTTTTCCGCTGCTCTAAGGGCGGTGTTTTAGCACCAGGCGGCACTATCATCTGCCCATCTTTTACTAGCAAATCGAAGATTTCATCACATTTTGTGATGTCAAAGGTGTAAGTTTTCTTAGGGAACCTGTCGTTCTTTTCTGATTCGACAAAGCCCTTTCCTTGAGGAGGGGACAATACTCGACAAGAATATGGGGGACCCTGTTTTAATTCAGCAAGATCGACTTCGTTCTCCTCGAAGTAGGGGGACTCTTCGCAAGCCCCTTCGCTACTTTCGTTGAGTTCGACAAAAGCTACTTTCTTGCCTTTGTTAAATCTCGCATTTTCGTCTTTCAGCCTTTCTAGCTGTCGGACTCTGTCGGCCAATTGGGCCATATCTCTCAGATACTGCGTATCTAATTTCTTCCTAATAGAGTAATCTAAACCTCCTGCTGTCATTTTGACGAACTCATGTTCAGGCACCTGTGTAAAACACCTTGCCTTAAGTAGTCGAAACCTATTGAGGTATTCTTCGATTGGCTCTAAAAACTTACGCTTTACACTGGCCAACTCTTTCAAACTAATCTTCGTCTGGCCCATGTAAAACTGTTCATGGAAGAGCCGTTCTAACTACGTCCAGTTACATATTGTACTTGGTGGTAAAGTGGTAAACCACGTGAAGACGTTCTTTGTAAGAGAACTTGGGAAGTATTTTATCCTAAGGCTTTCGTCATTGGCTATCTCCCCAGCCTCAATTATGTAGCGTGCTACGTGTTCGACGGTGGACTCCGTCGTGTCCCCTGAAAACACAGTGAACTTAGGCACCTTGGTCCTAGGGGGTAATTCCGCTCGAAGGATGTAGTCGACTATTGGTGAAGTATAATTTGGCCTAGTAAACCCATTGTTTAGGCCATTTCAAGTCATGATTCTTTCTACCATCGTAGCCAAGTTGTTTTCAACCGCGAGGTTGTTGCGTCGTACTTGCTGGACCATATTGTCTGCATCCTGGTTTCGATTCACCATAACTATTTCTGGGTTTCCCTCGACCTGGACTCTGGGAGTTTCGACAACATAAGGGTCTATTCCTCCTTGGTTCTCTAAATTGGCTTCTGGCGCCACTCTTGGAATTTGTTGTGGAGTATTCTCCACATGGGCTTGGTTCCTTTCTAACGGAGGTACCCCTATAAATTCAGTCAAGCGTGTTAACTGTGTCGCCAGTTGTTGGTTAGTGTGAGTTGTGTCTCGAATTAATGGCTGAAAGATCTCACCCATAGTCTGGGAAAGGGTTTGAACCATCTGTAAGTTACTCTCATCCATCTGCTGCCTCAAACAGGCAACGGACGTATTGGTTAGATTGGGACCTTGAGTCGAATATCCTAGACTTAAACTTTGAGGGTTTCGACCAATGTTTGAACCAGGTCCTGATCCTTGCAAAGGTGACGCCATTGTGTTTTTAGAAAATATTGGGGGCGCATTTTGCAGCCCCTGCATTACAGTCGTTGGCATCCCATACGGGGGATTCCTTGGCAACTGCAAAAGACCAAAAGGGGCAAACTGCCTTGACACTGATGGTCCTGCTATTGGAGTTTGGGGATTCGACACTGGTGGCCCAATATACTCCAATACGGGTTGTGTGTAAGGCCTAACTATCGTTGTCCCAGATCCTACTGGGGCGAAGGTTTGTTCTGACCTTATGGGAGGCGCTACTTGCTCTCCTGTCGATGGTATAGGCGGTGGGACCATGTTGTTACTGGTTCTTTCGCCAGAACCTTCGACTTGTGGGTTAGGATTGTTTGGCTGGTTCGTTTCCGTCGCCATATTCCTAAGGATTGTTCGTCTTTCTTCGTTAGCAGCGGTAATTCTACCACTTCTTAGTAACATATAATGTACTTTCTACGAAGATTATTAAGACTTGTAAATGAGAATCTTTTAATTCTAAATCGCGGGGATATTTAGCACTGTCCCACCAGGTGTGCCATTTTGTTTCCCTTGAAAAATCGGAAAACAACCGCTGATCTTCCAAATTTGACTTTGGTGACTCACAGGATCGATCAGATTGATCCTAGGACATGTGCTAAAGTATTCTTCGTTTAGAATTAGATTTAAAGTACTTGTAATAACGAATTGGTAAATGTGCTTGTAATGAAAAAGACTTCGACTGGGTATTTTAAAGTGCATAAACTTAAAGAAACGCTGTAAAAGATTTGTAAAAGGCTAATCGAAAAAGGTAAAAAGTTTAAAGGAAAAGAAGAAAAGTTGCAGTAAAGGATGCGGGAAAGGTAAAGGCAAAAAGGTAACACTTGCACAAGTGGTTCGACAGAGGAAATGTAAATGTTGCTGAAATTGTAAAAGACTTTATTGAAAAGTTGGTGATTTTACATAACGTACATTCTCCGTGAAAATACTCTTTTCTCAAACTCGGGTACTTTGAGTAAATTTGATTGGAGTTACTTTGTACAAATGGTAACACACCCAGAAATCTGTCTAACAAATCCCTATTTATAATGCTAATAATTAACTGCTAATAACTTCCTAGTATCTCCTCGATCTAACAACTGTCAATTGCATGTAACTTCCTGCTCTAGAACTCGCCACGTGTCTTATGAACAGAACCGCTCCCTCCAAATTTTGAATTTCAAAACGACGTAGCAATCCTCCTGCAGAATTTCGGTCGAACTACCTCTGATACGGTCGAAATGCTCATAACTTTAGGTTTCTTAATTTTTCTAAGTTATTTCAACCGTTTAGCTTAGAAGATTCCTTAGAGGCTGTCGAAACCTCTTTGCTTCATTTTACTTAGACATTAATTATGCCTTAATGTTTAGCAACCCAAGGCAATGTCGAATTTGGGAGCTAACAGCTGGACGCCATTTCGTTATACTCTGGATGGCTGACTTGTTGATCAAGTATGATGTATGTGTATCTTACCGAACGAGTGATGCGCTGCTTTGGGTGTTTGCAAGTTATTCCGAGAAACCCCTCAGAGTCTTCTCCTCCCATCGTTCGCTGCAAAGATCTTTATGCCATACTTGAGGATCTCGATAGTCATCTAGTACCAGAGGACTATCGCATGGTGTTAGCTCTTGTACAATTGGCTTATGCAGACAACTATATCGCATGGTTCTATAGGGTGTCACAGTCATATCATGACATCAGGCGCTTTTTGAAGACCACCTAGATCATCTAATCAGAAGATACTAGAGGTTAGATTTTTTTAGGAAGACATACCCCATTCAGTCCTTGTAGAAGACATTATTGTTGGGGCACGAAATTCCTTGCAAAACAGGCAGAGGAGAAACTAGGAGATTAGACATGCTGAGTTGTTTATGTTTGTTTATATTATTTTTTGTATTTTCAAAACGATCAATACATTTTAAATTTAATTAAATTAATGTATGAGTTTTTAATCTATGTATAGTTATGTTTGAATCAATTTATGACACTCTTAAATGCTTTTATGATTAAAATTGACCTAAAATATAAATTGATCTCAAAAATTAGGATAATATTGGTGCCTATAATATATTTAATGGGGTTTTCAAAATTTTATTTTTAAAATATCCCTTGTCATGTATAATAAACATATTTTCAATAACTTAAAATGAATTCAAGTGTTTTACGAAGATACGTTTCCAAATTTATTTTAAAAAGTTTAAAAATATAAATTTTTAAAATAAATTTTAACAAAATAAAATATGTGGCTGAATTACGATAACTATTATAATTTTAAATGCATCTAAAGGTGCATCTTTCGAACATCAATAAAACATTTTGGTTTTTATATGTATGAGGTGCACCTAGATAAGTGTTCTCCATATATAAAATTTGGAGAAATGTTATTCATATACATTTTCTATTATGTATAATAATTATATTTTTCAATTCTTTACAAACGGCATAACATTCGGTGTTTGATTTTTGGGTGTCAAAATAGCAACCTCATAAATTGCTAATTAGTATCACTACTTTTAAAAATGTGTGTATTATTTATAAAAGAAAATTAACTTTTTTATTCATTAAATAATAATTTATCTGATTTATATTAATTCTTCAATTACCCAACGTAATTTTTTTCTTTATAACTAGGACTGAGGCAGATCTTTTATTTACAAAGTAGAAAGAAACATTAGACAGAGAAATACTTGGTACCCCTATCCAATGAAGGGTAGGTTGGATTCCTCCAAAATTAGTACTGTATTATCTAAAAGTAGATTTTTTTCCGGCAGAAGACAAAAATGTCCCCATCTTTGATACAACGGATAACGTAATGGGAGGTCCAAAATACTTGCCGTTAATAACACACTTAAATTTGGTCTTGCTACATTCTCTTTCTCCCTCACTTGTTTGTTTTTTCTTTGAACCCTTGCAGATACCTCACTTCCATTGTTATGAGAAGATGATGATTGCTCTCAAATCCATAAATCCTTCCTTCAGACTTACTAACATCAAGTGTAATATCTACAAGAAAAGAAGTTCTACTTTGTACCTCTGCAAGTTCAATGAGTCTGATTCTCAAGCTCCTCAACCAGGAGATACAAAAAAACAGGAACTACTAGCCCAAATGGCCATGCTTCAAGCTCGAAAAATCCGTCTCACAGATTATCTAGATGAGAGATCAGCATACTTAACCCAATTTGGTGAAATGGTTAACGCCGAGTTTGAAAAGATTGGAGAAGATGCCCTCAAAGGATTAGATGAAGCTGGTGCCAGAGTATGCCTCCACTTTTGAGCTAGCTATGTAAAATGTTACATCGATAATGAACTCTTATATTCACTTGTATTTAACAGATAACAGCAAACATGGAGAGCCAGATGCTAGAATTCGAGGAATCTGCAGAAATTAACAGACAAGAGATTAAACAACGTGAAAACGAATTAGAGGAGTTTGAAGTTCAAATGGAAAACAGCAGAAATGAAGGGCTATTCTTTAAGAACCTAAGAAAGAAGGTACCTGTGGTTGATAAAGCAAAAGCCAAAGAGGAGGCAGAAAAAATTAAAGATGTAATCAGAGAAAAGGCTGGAAGCCGTATCAGGAAAAATGTTTACCGATTCTTCATTGGCCTGCTGACCTTTACAGTAGTTTATTCTATTGCCTCTCCATCAACTGATTGGAGAAAAGTAGCAGTTTTTGGAGCAATTCTTGTGGCTTTGATTTCTCAGTTCACCTATGAACAAAACATGTCAGTAGAAACCAAAACCACAAGAAAGATCAACAATGAAGAGGAAAATAAATGAGTTCAATTTTTAGTGTTATTTACTGCAAATTTCTGGTAAAAACAGTAATTGATATTGCATGATATAAAAAACCCAAGTATAGTTTTACAACATGGGCCTATATTATCATGCAGATTTTCTTTTGCATCGACGACCTAAGATATTTGGTGATATCGCTAAAATCACCCAAATCCAAGTAACTGGGTTATCATGTGATGCGATTGAATTCTTTATAACCTATGTCAATACAGAAAAACATATTCTTCTCAAGCTTTAGAAATGTACCTTTAGAAGCTAAATTTACCTTTGGTGAAAACTGCTTATTAATTGATATTGCATGACATAATAAACCCAAGTATAGTTTTACAACTTGGGCCTGATATTATCATGCAGATTGCTTTGGCATCCACAACAGAAGATATTTGGTGATATCACTAAAATCACCAAAATCCGAGTAACTGGGTTATCATGTGATGCTGATTAAATTTTTATAACCTATGCCAATATAGAAAAACATTTACATTTTTCTAGAGTTTTAGAAATGTACCTTTAGAAACTAAATTTACCTTTGCATCTTCCATCTGGTGTAGCTTACAAAATTAGTGTAGCAAACACAGGAATATAGTAATTTGCGGTGTGAAACTCCAAATGCCTTAAAGAAAACAACCAACTGATGTATGGCTTGAGGCAGATTAAAAATATTTCCCACAACAAAAACCCATGACCCTTTCTGTTCAGACAACTGCAAACTGCAGGCACTCACTTAGGCCAAGCTCCAACCTGTATTACACCCATGTACCCATACCGACAAATGCAGCTTAGGTTCAAACCTAAACATATCATTAATCATGTTTCTGGTGGGAAGCCACCAAAATGCATGTATGTCAATCAAATATGCCTGTAGTTGATGAACTCAACAGGCGCATAGATAAAAGTAGGATCCAAACCAAGTTATTTTAAATCAAGTTGATTCACCAAAAAAAATCACAGCTCTAACTAGTATGTTCCATGTAATAACAGTTGGCATAACACCATGAGCCAAAGCATCACGTAGATACCTAACTGCTTCTGTTACTCTACCACAAACACAGAGTCCATTAAGAGTAATATTATATGAGATGATGTCAGGTTTTAGCCCATCTTCTGAGATGTGAGCCCAAATCTTTGATGCCTTTTCACAGTCCCCAACTTTGTAAAAACCCTCCATAATGGTATTATGTGTAACAAGATTAACACAGTTTCTCTTTCTCATTATCCAATATAGCTGCAAAGCATACTTCACTTTACCAGAAGAACAAAGTCTATGAATGACAATGTTATGCATTGTAATATCAGGCTTAAATCCCTTTGCAAGAAATTGATAACACAGCCTAAGTGCTATGTCATTCTCGTTCATCTTGCCCTGACAAAGACCATCTATCAATGTGCTGTATGTGATAATATCTGGTTTCCACCCTTTCTCCAACATTTCCTCAACACAATGGTATGCCTCGGGAAATCTTTCTGCTCTACAAAATCCATTTATAAGAATATTATAAGACACAACATTAGGTGAGCAACCTTTGGTGCTCATTTCCCTAAAGACTTGAATAGCACTGCCAACTTTGTAATGTTTCATAAACCCGTCGATGAGTGCATTGTAGACATGAGGGTTCAATCTACATCCACGCTTATCTGTCAAATTCAAAACTCCAGCCGCTTCATCTAATCTTCCTTCTTTGCACAAACCACTTATCATTGACGAGTACGCAAAGGTATCCACATCACCTCCTCTATTTTCAGCCTCTTCCAACACCTGCAAAGCCTTATTCACATACCCATTCTTACACAACCCATGAACCAATACTCCGTAAGTAGCTGACTCTACACAACAATCCACCTCACCCAAAACCTCCCACAGATTCATTGCTTCATCCACCTTCCCATTATCAAACAACCCTTTAAGAAATACGTTATAACTTACCACATTTCGGGAACCACACTTCCCCATCTCCTCCCACAGCACAAAACTCTCGTCAACCTTCCCAGCTTTACACAACCCATTAAGCATTGCATTACAAGTAACAACATCAGCTTTAACCCCTCTCACAACCATCTCCTTGTAAACCCTTATAGCTCCATCCAAATCCCCAGCCTCACTCAACCCATGAATCAAAGCACTATAAGTAAAAACATCATGCTTCCAATCATTCATCTTCATCCTCTCCCATATCTCCAAACTCTCCTTAAACCTCCGACAGTTACACAACCCACTAATCATAATATTATAACTAACAACATTTGGAAAAACTGTTTCCACCCTCAACAACCTCTCCCACATCTCCTTACCCTTTAAAAAATCACCCATTTTAAAAAACCCATCAATAATAATATTATAACAAGTAACATCAGGCTCAACACCTCGTTCAGACATTTCATCAAACACTTCCAATGCAGTATTCAAATCACGGCTTTTCACAAACACACCTATCAAAGTTCCGTAAGTAAACCTATCAGGCTTCAAACCCACACTCCACATCCACATTACCAACTTCCTCGCCTTCTGAAACTCACGCTTCTTACACAGAACCTTCATCAAGACATTATAAGTCTGCACGTTAGGAGAAACACCTGCAGTTTCAAAATAAGCGAAAAACTTTTCCGCCCGGTCCCATTGATGGGATTCAGCAAAAGCATTAAGGAGTGTATTGAACGAACGAATACCAGGTCTACACCCGAAAACAAAACCCATGTTTTGAAAGATTTTCAGTGCTTGATCTGGCATTGAGGTTTTAGCATAGGCTTTCAAGAGACTGAGAGGGATATCTTCAGGGCAGATGAAGTTTTGAGTTTTTTGGATGGTGTGAACTATGTGGGGGACGTGGGAATGGAGCAGGATGGGATCGGGGGATATGCGACGGAGAATGTGGAGGAAGACGTCGGCGGAGTGAGTGTAGTTTGGGAGACGTGTGGCGGCGTGGAAGAGTTGGAGGGCGGAGGTGAGGTTTTTTTGGGAGTCGAGGAGTTTGAGGAGACGGCGGGGAGAGAGGGATTTGGGAAGGTTCACCATTTCGCGGCGAGGACCTAAACGAAGTTGGAGGATGCATTGCTTATTTGAACTTTTCATTCAACCAACGATATTTTATATAGCGGACATATTTCTCGGTGTTTTGAATTGTAAAATTGCAAATATCTAATAGTAGTTTGTCTCGGTATCATAATCTACCATATAAAAAAATTGAGGCTTTTACAGCATTCCCACGTTCGAAATAAAATGTATCAAATTGTTACAAATTGAAAAAAAAAATTGATCAATATGTTACGAATTTTATAAATGTTGGTTTAGGGTTTAGGGGCTCAGACAACCATTAGCACATTCTGAAATGAAATGTACCAAATTACCACAAGTTAAAAAAAATTGATCAATATGCGTCCTTCCATTGAACGACCCTATGAAGGACATAGTCCCATGAAAGGGCTCGGCCAATCATTGGCAGACCCTTTGAAGGTATTTTTTATATAATTATTTTAAATATAAAGTTGAAATATTTATTATAATTTTATATATTTAATTGTTTTTTAAATATTAAAAACTCATTACATGATTTAAAATATTAATAAATAAATAATTTAATTAATTTTATAATGTTATTAAATATTTTTTATAACATTTAATTAATTAAAATAATTTGCTTATTAAATAAAATCATAAATAAAAACAATTTTATTAATACTGATGAGTGAAAAAGATACATTATTTTTGTCTACGTAAATGACTGTCAGTTCCACACATTTTACTCTTTTTCACTCGTTTCCCGATGCATAACTCTTACCATGTCCACATCAGTAGCAGAAAAACCTGGTCATTCCATGAGTTGATCATCTGTTAGGAGATAGTTGGAGACTGGCTGGGATGGTTGGTTGAAGGTGGTTGGAAGGCTTTGTTGGATGGGAGGGTAATAAACATCGTCAGTGCGATCGGTAGAAGTTGGTTGAGACAGTGAAGGGTTAAATGTTTGGTGTTGTGATTGAGGGTAAGAGAATTCAAAATTAGATCGAGGAATTGGAGTGAATTGAAAAGATGGTCGAAATGTGGTTTGTTCCTGGTATTCTTGGTGGTAGTAGAAGTTATGTTGTGGGGTTGGGGTGTATGGTGTTTGTAAGTACAGAGTATGTCTAAGAGGGGGGGGGGGGTGAATTAGGACTTTAGAAATTTTTCCGGTTTTTATGGTTTCTTGAAATTTTACTGGTTTGTGTTCTTGGTTATAAAAGCAGAAGAAAGTAAAAGAACAATGGACACCAGGATTTATAGTGGTTCCCCTCACAATCCGAGAGTACTCCACTCCCCTTTCAACACGAAAGAGAGTTTTCACTATTGTTTAATAAAGTACAACCTATCACACCATCAACCGGTGAGGCCTATTATCAAACAATGAAACTAACAAGTGTACAAGAACAATCCTCTTGTAAACACTCACCCTTGTGTCCAACAATCCTGGATCACAAGTCAGAATACAAATACTTGTAAAGATTTTTGTTTTGAGAATAATAATAATATCAAAGTTGATCTTCTCCAAATGATCAAAATTCACTCTTACAATTTTCAACACAAGTGTTCAAAGATAAATATGAAATTTATGCACATATGAACACTTAATCAAAGATTTTGAAAATGGTGAATTTGATTCTAAGAAAATTTGAAAATGAAAGTAGAAAGTGTTTGGAGATTGGAAGTTTTTTGTGTGTGTCTTTCAAAATTGAAAAACTCAGAATTTATATGAGTAAAATACCCTTTCAAAAAGGTATATTTGAGTAGATTTCAAAAATATGAAATGGTGTAATTTTCAAACAATTTTTGAACTTGAAACAAAGCCATTTTTCACTGTACGTTCAGTGTTAATCGGTTAACCTATATGATTAATCGGTTAACACTGGAACGTTAGCCCAGATTATTTAAAATTTGAAATGGTTAACCGGTTAACCTATATGGTTAATCGGTTAACACTGCTATTTTTCAGAAAAATGCTTTTAAAAAATGAATG